ATATTTACCATATTTTAAATTAAAGCCAAGGAATTTTTTAAAAGTTTGTACTCATTCATCTAAACATAACAGTAATCAACTAATTACCTATCAACATAAACTATTTCTATGAAAAATAACTGCATTTTCCAAAACAAAGAGTGTGGGTGGGAAGCCTGGGGCTAGCTGGCCTCTCTGGACGCTCTGTGCTGTCCGACCTGAGATGCAGCTGTGGCAGCCATGGTGCCACCATGCCCTGGACCCGCTGGGAGACCTGCACATGTGTGAAGGAATGGCGGGGGGAGGACAAATGCGTTCCTAGCACTCTTAGGAAAGGGGTTTCAATCTTGCAGACCCCCATATCCCACTGACTGCTGTGAGGGCGCAAAAGTATAGCTCCTCCCACCTCCCAGCTATCCGGGCAAGGCTGGCCACCGCATTAACATGAGACAGGGTAACAGGGAAATGTGCACTTTATTAGGGGAGTGCAGGAGGGGTGCCACATGGGACCCCAGGAGGCCTACACAGATGGGACTCACAGCCTGCTGAACTAAGGAGAAGGGATGTGGTTTGGGAAAGGACAGGAAGGCAGCTCCGGTGGCTGTGGAGAGCAGAGGTGGCGCAGGCAGGCTCCTGAGGGTCTCTAGCTGTGCCCATGGGGAGGACGGAGCACGCGGCCTGGCAAGGCTCCTCCTGCCCACTGGCTCCTGTTAACTTGTAGCTTAAAGCCCACAGGTCCTCTAGCGAAGCTCCTTTAGGCAGGTAAAGGGCCAGAGGCTTTTCCTAAGTCTTCTTATTCCTTAGTTCCCAGCTTGAAATCAATATCCCAAAGGCTTATTTTGGGGCGGGAAAACGTTGATCCCCTCATGTGCTAACACAGCTCCCTACTGTTTATACCATTTTTGGTCCTGTTACCTGGACGTTTCCTAACTGACGGCTGGCTTTGGGAGCATCACAGGAGACCACAGGGGCACGACGAGGCCACTGCACACAGTTCCAGGACACAGACCAGGGCTTGCAGGGGCAGGTAGAGGGAAGGAGAGCAGGCAGCTGCCACCTGGTGGTTGCAGCTGACAAGCTAGTCTGTGGACACCTGTCAGGCACCTGCTGAGAGCCCTGGAAATGACAGAGCACTTTGCAGGAGGGACTGAGTCTTCTAGCATAATGGGCAGCATATGTTCCAGACCAAGGCATTCACCCAGGAAGGAGTATGGCGATTGGTTAGTGGCACCTGGCACAGGCATAAAATAACAGAGTGGCAGCAATCCTGTGTCCTACATGTGCTTACTCCTGCACTCACCCCAAGGATGTGTCCAGAGATGCCACTGTCCTGAAGTGTCCCCCATTTTCTCTGCAGAGCGAAAGTCAGGGCTGAGGAGCCCAAGCCCCTCTCAGCCTTGCCAAGCAAGGGCGGCCAGGGCTGCATTAGCCAGGAGGCCCCCCCAAGGCCTGTGCTGCCCCATCTCACGCTCCAGCGAAGCAGCCTGCCCCTGACCTGGGCCCGCTGAGCCCAGGACCCACCTCCGTCCATCTGCCCTGCTGGGATTGAGCCTGTACCCAAGGAAAGTGTCAGCGACACCATCAGGGTGGATCGATAGTCAAGCAGCCACCTGCCTCAGGCAATTGGAGGGAACAGGAAATATCACCCTGTCTATCCATGCCTGAATCCCTACCATTCCATTCACTCTTCCATGGAATTAAGCTGATGTTTCCAGAAATGTTCCCTGTGAGGTTTGCACCCAGCCTCTGCTGTTGACCAGCTGGGAGGCCTCGGAGAAGTCATGAGCTCACAGCAGCTTGTCAGGGCCAGAGATGGGCTCCCACCTGCGAACGTTTGTGGTTAAAAGAAGACGATCCATGAAAATGGACTTTAGCAACTCTGGAATCCCAAGTGGCACATTCATTTTGGAGATGACCTACTTAGCAAAGAAAATAGAATTCTTTTTTAGGGTTTGGATACTAAATAGACAGACTTTAAAGAGGAAAGCAAAGCTGTCATTTAATTATTCATTTAGTCAACAAACATCTGCTAAGCTGGCCCGTGCTGGTCATGGGTACAAGGATGGCCAGCAGACATGGCTCTCCACACAGCGGCCACTCACCACATGAGGCTATTTAAATACAAATTAATTAAAAGTAAACAAAACTAAAAGTTCAGTTCTGCAGTCTTGCTAGTCACATATAAATTCCTCAAGCCCAGCCGATGTGGCTCAGTGGTTGAGCGTGACCTATGAACCAGGAGGTCACATTTCAATTCCCGGTCAGGGCACATGCCCAGATTATGGGCTTGATCCCCAGTGTGGGGCATGCAGGAGGCAGACTATTAATGATTCTCTGTCATCACTGATGTTTCTATCTCTCTCTCCCTTCCTCTCTGAAATCAATAAAAATGTATTAAAAATTAAAAAGAATAATAAAGTGCTCAATGGTGCACTTTGTTATTGGTGCCAGGGTCTGCCACAAGGGACAGCGCTGACATGGAGCGCCTCCCTCGCTGCGGGCAGTTCTAAGGGACAGCGCTGAGCTGCAGGTTAGCTGGGGAGACAGACTCAACAGAGTCAGACTAACACCTAAATCCATGTGTCAGTGGGGAGCCATGGGCAGCGCCCACTCCATTTTTTGGTGAGGAAATAACCAGGGAACCTCTGCCTTTCATTCCCCTGAGGTGGATGAGCATTTGAGAGCCTGACCTAGCTCCCGGCACCTCTGAGGCTGTTCTTTCCAAGGCTGGAGACTGAACGAACCTCCAGGGACCTGAGCTCATCTGTGACTATGTCTGACCTTGACACTAGTTTAGCCAGTGGCTGAGAGACACAGCTTCGGTTGGGTCCTAGCTCTGCCAACTGTATGATTGTGGGCCAGTAAGTAATCCCTCTTGGCCTCAGTGTCTCCATCTGCATCGTGGGGTGAATGAAGTATGTGGCCTGGAGCAGTGCTGGAAGCATTAGATACTTTAACGAAGAGAAAATGTTCAGCTGTGCGACACAGCACACACTGCACAAGTGACGATGATGATGATGACCCACGGGTCAGTGAACTTGGGAGGAATGGCACCTGCCACTCAATGTCCTCGTCTCTTTTCACTCTTTGCTTCCCAAAGTATCATCCCCCAAAGCTAAACTGGTCATCACAAAGCCCCTCTGTGAAATAGGCCAGCAAAGGGAACGTAACCATAAGTGTAATGTTCATCAACTCACCGAAGGCTTTTCACACGCCAGACTCCACGGGAAGCACTTCACCTGTATTATGTTTCATCTTCACAACAGCCCTACAGGCATGTTCTCCTAAAACCATCTCCCATTTGCACGTGGAGGATTGCAGCTTAGAAAGTGAACTTGCCCTCGATTACCCTAGGGAAGAAAAGGGTCTCGGTCAGGTGGTTGGAGCAGTCCATCAGGTCAGGGCACATGCAAGAAGCAACCAGTGAGCAGAAAATAGCTCTTTCTCTCTCTCTCTCTCTCTCTCTCTCTCTCTCTCTCTCTCTCTCATCAATAAATAAAAAGAAAAGAGAAGGATCTCGTACCACCAGGTGGAAGTGCCTGCCGGCTTTCCAATCCCGCAGGCCAGAGGGAACCCTGAGCAGGGTTGCCAGCAAATTTGTAAAGATCCTCCACTGTGTGCCAGGCACTGTTCTAGACATAGAGGACCTCAGCAAATACAACTGCCCTTTCCTTTCTTTATTACCTAATAAAAGATATTCATGGGGATGCGTCCGTGGCCTGACCAGCAGAAAACCGGCTCAGAAGGGATGAGGAAAGGTCCATGGTCCCCAAAGATCAGGGCAGACAAGTTTCCCCAGAGTGTAGTGTTATCCTGCCACCCTCCTGCCTCCCTGCCCCTCACCCCACCCGCAGGGAGGTGGGGAGCAGGGGCCATCTCCCTGTCCTTCCTGTAAGTCCTGGATGGGATGGGGTGAGGTCCACCTGAGAAATTGGAGTTGTGGGGTCCTCAAGTTCTAGAGTGTTTTTAGGGGAGACCTGAGGAATCTGCCCTGCAGGTCACCTAGGAAACCTGTCCCGTGGTAGCAGCACGTAGAAAGCAACTTCCCAGGCCCAGTCGGAGCGATGGCCGTCTGACGGTGCGGTGCGGGGGATTAGGAGCCAAGGTGGGCTTTGCAAGCGAGGTGTGAGGCTGCCTGGACCCTTCCTGCCAGTCTGCCCTGCGCCCGCTAGTGAGCGGGTGTCCTGGCTGTGCCCAGAGTGTTTGCGGAGCGCAAAGCCGGAGGCCTGCGGCCACGGAGTGTGTGCGCACCCCGAAGAGTGGTGTACGTGGATGATGTGTGCGGCGTTGATGGTGGGGGTCCTGTATATGGGCACGCGAGGGGTGCACCGAGTAGACGTGTGAATGTGTTTGGAGGCCAAGGACGCGGGTGTTGAGCCGGTGTCCGCAGAAACCGGACACGTGGCGGGGGCCGGGGGTGGGGGGAAGTGGAGTGGGACTGGGCGGAAAAGGGCTGCGTTCGGACCTGCGTCGTAGAGGCCGAGCCGCGGGTGTGCCGGGTGGCCTGCAGGGGATGGCGCACTGTGGGCGCGGTGCTGGTTGTTGCGGGGAGGGTACCGGTTAGGACCCCCGCGCTGGAGAGTGCCCTGGGCGGGGCCAAGGCCCTACACTGCGCACTCCTGGGACTTTCCCTCCGAGCGCGAGCGTCCTGCTGCTGGATCAGCCTGAGGACGCGTCGGCCGCGTCGGGTCTGCTTACGGTGCACTGTGGACGTCGGGGGAGGGCCCTGAATTTGGGACAAGGACCCAGGAGCTGGCGCCGGCGGGTGTGCGCTATTGGTGTGGGGGTTCAGTGCACAATAGCTCGTGAGGCGGGACGGGGACCCGGTCTCGGAGGCTCCAGGGGCGGGGCCTGTAGAGAGCGGGGGGTAGGGGGGCTGAGGAGGGCGTGGTCAGGGGAGGCGGGCCTTGTGGGGGGCTGCGGAGGGCGGGGCCTGGGGAGGGGAGGGGCCTGAAGAGGGCGGGGCCACGGCTGCAGCAGCGCGGGCGGGCCCGGGGGTTCCTGGCGCCGCAGAGGTTCGCGAGGGAGAGCAGTGAGGCCGGGCCGGGTGCGCGCGCGCGGGGCGGGCCGCGGTCGCTCTGCGGGGATGTGACTCGGGCCGAGGGCCAGCGGGAGCGTCGGCGCTGCGGGCCGTGGGGGTCGGTGAGTGCGAGTCATGCTAAAGGGCGGAAAGCGCTGTAGGGACTCCAGAAACTTTTCCCGCGTGGAATTAGGAGGATTGGGGGGGTCTTATCCTTTTCTCACCCCACAAGGGGTTAGTGTTTTGGGGAAGATGGGGATCCGGGTTCCGGGATCGCAGTGAGGTGGTCGAGGAGCCGCAGGGAGCAGGGGGTGGAGGGGGGGACTGGGGGGCTGCCTCCCCGGACCAGGCAGAGATCCAAGTCTCGGAGGAGAGTCTGGGCGACGCAGGTAAGGCAGCCGGGGGTTGTGCCAGGGAGTCCAGGCGCCCGAGGGGCTCGTCCTGCGATGGAAGTCGCTGCAGGGCCGGGGCTGCGCTGCAAGCCCGTGGGCTGACCGCAGGCCGGGCAGGCGGAGCGGGCGCACAGGGCCGGGCTCTCGGGTGAGCCGCGCACCTGCCGCGGGGCCGGAGGGGTGGCCGCACACGATGGCGGGACTGGGCCGGGCTGGGGGTGACGACTCGGCCTGCGCTGCGTCCCCTCTCCTGGGGGACACGGGCTCGCCCACCGCGGGGCTCCTGCCTCCCGCACCCACCTCGGTCCCGGGCTGGTTGACCCGCGGGAAGGGGGCGCCTTGCCGCAGAGAACCCCCCTCCCCCCCCCCCCACACACACACACTCCCCGGTGCGCCACTGGGCGCTCCTGGGCGCTCGGACAAAGACCCCGGAGGCGTCGTGGGCGGCGGCGTCCCCTCCGGGGCCCGGGCCCCACTGCGCCAGGCTTGGGGCACCGAGCAGAGCCCGGGAGGAACTGGGGTCCTCGCAAAGGCTAGAGGGTTGGGAGTGAGGAACTTGGCACCGAAGCCTAGGAACTTGAGCCCAAGAGCCTTGATTTAGAAATGTCCTCGGTGCGGTGGGCGCTTCCGGAGGCCCCGGGCTGTGAGCAGCGGAGGAATGTAAATAGGCTGCACCGGGCGGCATGGCCGAGTGGGCATTTCCCCCCGCCCCCCGCTCAGCTGGGAAGAGGTCAGCCTGGCTGGGAAGGGAGAGGACGGAGGGGAAGGAGTTGCCTTTTGGGGTGCAGCCAGCGAGACAGGCGGTCCTGTTAGAAAGAGAAGCTCCAGATCTTCATGGATGGATTTATTTCAATATGTGTGCCGCTGCGGAGCTGGGCCTGGGAGACGGCAGCGTGTGACATGCCCACAGGCGCGGGGAGGGGGAGGAACACACCGAGCAGGTCAGTGTATAGAGATGGAACTTCTGTTTAGGGTGAGGCTGCCAGGAGAGCAGCGGCCCGGTGTGCACGTGCTGAAAGCTGTTCTGGGGTGACATTTTAGGGAAGCCCTGCCAGAGGGGCCCCGCTGCAGGAGATCTTGGGGAGAGAGCACTGCAAATGCAAGGACTTGGAGTTGGGGATGAAGTTGGAGGAACTGAACAAAGGCCGTTGTGGCTGGAGCTCCCAGGCAGATGTGTGTGAGTGTGTGTGTGTGTGTGTGTGTGTGTGTGTGTGTGTGTGAGGGGGGGGGGCATGTGGGCACTTGGTGGCAGCTGTGACAGGACTGGATTGCTGGGACCAGCCAGACCACAACCCTTGGGGCCACGAAAAGGAGTTGAGGCCGGAGAACTCCGTAGAGGTTTGAGTGGGAGGGAAGCCAGGAGATCTGAGTTTTAAAAGCTCCTTTAACCTCAACAAGGACACACAGCAAGCAGCTTCTCCTTCATTTTGCCTCTGGGGAGAGCAAGGTGCTGGGACCTCCCAGAGTCCCTGTGCAGCCGGCAGCTCTGTGGGTGCACTCAAGGAGTTTCTAAACCCACTCCCACTTTTAAGCAGTCCACCCTAAGGAGCACCCAGTGGAGCCCACCGCCCAGAAACCCTTGCACACAGAGCTTCCTGGGCTTCTGAGTTAGTGGCGTTTCTTCTGGGAATTGGAGCCCAGGGGAGCCTTCCTGCCCACCCAGCAGCTGAGGATGGAATTTGCATTTAAATGATCGCTTTCATTCACGGGATCAAAGAAGCTCTGCATATTCATGTGCCAAGAGCTGTGTCTGGCAACCTCTTTACTAACCTCTGAGGGCTTTAAATCTGAGTGCCCCCAAACTGGCCGGGGCGGGCAGCATCGGGGAAGGGAGATTATAAAACCCTGTAACTTGGGAAGGATACCAGAGGGTTAGATTGTAGTCTAGGAAATGGCCTAATGTCAGGAAACTTTTAACTGGCTCTTCGGGATGAGCTGTAAGGCTGCTCCTCTGTCAGAGAGCTCTGCAGCCTCCTCCTAGCTCCTGCCACACCCGGGGGTGGTCAGGCCAGGGGCAGGGGCGCAATAGCAGGCCTGGTGGTCAGCTTTTGGGAGAAACGGGTTCTAGTCCCAGCTTGACCTGTAAGCTCCAATAAGCCTCTGGCTGAACTGCCTCACTTCTACCTTCTTTTCCCCGTGGGGCTATGGGGACCATGGTTGTCTTTTTAATAATAAGCAAGAACCCTCTACACCTGGGCTCCGGGCACCTCCCTGGGACTTGTCATGCACTTGCCACACCAGCCTTTCAAAGGCAACACTGTGGTTGCCTTCGTTTTGCAGGCAGAGGAGAGGGTAAGGTCGCGGTGCTGTCTGGCTTCCCTCCTGCTGCCGGGAGCTGGCAGGAGGGCTGATTCTGGGCCAGCTGTCCTCTGGGGCCTAAACTAGAGCCCTCCCCACCTTTCTTCTTTCCCTCCCATGTCCCAGCCCCTCCCCCTCCCCCCAATCACCTTCAGAGAAGGTGGTTCAAGATATCTCTGAGCTGCTGGGCCCTGGGAGGGGACCTGATGGAGGATGGGGCTCCTGGAGCCCTGCCGGTGGCCCCATTGAGGCTGGTCTGACCGGGCTGCAGAGACAGATGTGTAGAACTGTGCCTCCCTCCACATGAGCGGGAAGGCAGGGGGGCTGGTTCCCAGGGATTGGCTCAGGCCTGTCGCTGTGTGTCCTGGCCCTGACTCCTCAGCAGACACCCCATTTGAGGGCACCCAGGCTGACCTTGGGCCTCTGACCTGGTTCCTTTCAGGAAAATCACCCACTCAGGATAGTTTGGGGGTTCCTAGAACAGATCACCCTCAAAGGTGTCTCCCTTCATACCACCTCTGGGACCTCATCTTAGTGTAGGAGAGGGAGGCTGGGAACCAGTGGTGGACAAACTCCTGGGTGAGCCCCCTCCCCCTACCCCTCCAGGCCATCGCCCCCGAAGGAGCTGTCGGAAAGCTCACAGCCTCAGGCCAGGGAGATCCGCCAGATGTGTCTATTTATATCACAGGCACTCTATAAAACGCCTATCCTATGTTAACCACTGTCCTAAACCCTAATTATTATCTTAATCCTCACACAGCCCTACTCGGTGGGTGCTGTGATCACCCCCATGTGGCAGATGAGGAAACTGAGGCAAGAAAGGTTCAGTCGGCTGCCTGGGGCCCCAGGGACTGCTGGCAAGTGGCAGGAATGGGACCTGGTGCTCAGTGCACATGGCCATCAGGGGCTCCTCCTACATTCCTCCTTCATTCCTCCTTCATTCCTCCCAGCCTCTGCAGCCGCTGGGTATGAAGCATGCACTCCACCACCTGCTGGCCCCTCTGGCCCCTCTTCAGGGACAGTGTGAGAGAGTGTGTGAGTGTGAGTGTGACAGGGTGTGAGTATGAGAGGCTGTGAGTGTGAGAGGGTGTGAATGTGAGAGAGTATGTGTGAGTGTGGGAGGGTGTGAGTGTGAGAGTATGTGTGAGTGTGAGAGGGTGTGAGTGTGTGAGAGTATGTATGAGTGTGAGAGAGTGAGTGTGTGTGAGAGGGTGTGAGTGTCAGAGAGAGTGTAAGTGTGAGTGTGTGAGGGTGAAAGTATGTTGTGAGTGTGAGAGAGAATGTGTGTGAATGTGAGTGTTGTGAGTGTGAGTGTGTGTGAGACAGTGAAAGTATGTGTGAGTATGAGAGTGTGTGAGTGTGAGAGAATATGAGTGTGAGAGGTGTGTGTGTGTGTGTGTGAGTGAGAGAAAGTGGGAGTGTGAGTGAGAGTGAGTGCCAGAGAGTGAGTGTGAGTGAGAGAGTGTGAGGGTGAGAATGTGTTTGTGAGAGAGTTTGTGTGTGAGAGAGAGTGAGAGTGTGTGAGAATGTGTAACGTCAGAGTGTGTGTGAGAGAGAGTGAGTGTCATAGTGTGTGAGTGTAAGAAAGAGTGTGTGAGGTTGTGTGTGGTAGAGAGAATGTGTGAGAGTGTATGAGGGTGAGAGTGTGAAGAGAGGGAGAGGGAGCAATGCAGTGTATTTAGGAGCATCTGAGTGTGGAATGAGTGTGAGTGCTGTGAACTGAGTCTTGCACATTCCTTCAGTTTTATTTGTTCTTCCCTGTGAGGAGCTGCACACTCCCATCCCACTGGTTGGTTGCTCTTTATTCATCCCATTCCTGCCACCTTCCCTGCGGTGCCTGAACCCTGGTCTGTACTGTCCAGTTTGGGTTCCTGGATCGCTGCTCCCCTAAGATGTGGGGGCACCCGGTGGCTGTGGAGCACACCTGGCTTTCCTGACAGTAGGCGCCTGCCTGACCTCAGGTGGCATTCTGGCATCCCTGCTACCTGTGTCCCAGCTCCTCGCACAGCGTGCCCCTGTGCCCGTGTCCCCCACCCTGGGGCTTGTGGATGGGGTGCAGGGGATCTAACTAAAGTTCTCTGCTGCTGCTGTTGTTCCCCATCTGAGGGTGAAAATCTGACTTAAACTCAGACCCTGTTCCCTCCGCTATCAGATAGCGATTCGTGCAGAACCAGACAGGCAAGGGCCTGGGAGTGGTGGTGGGGTAACAGACCAAAAGAGCAGCACAGCAAAGTGACTGGGATTGTAGCACATGCGACAGAGATAAAGACCAAAGGCACTGACGGCGCCTGGGAGGGCAGGGAGACGCAGACTCAGGTGGACTGGCCGGGGGAGGACTCGCCAGGTGACAGGCTTACAGCCTGGGCTGTCGTGCCCAGCGACAATGGTGCACTTGTTGTCTCTTGGCTCCACTGCTTCCTGCTGTGTGACCTTGGACAGCCCGCTGACCTCCCGCTGTTTCCTGTAACAGGGAGATGGCAGCAGTGCTTGCTTCGCTGCGTCCTTGCATAGACCATAAGGCGCTGCTGTGTGCCGGGCATGGCAGAGTGCCAGCAGCACAGTGAGGGGGGTGAGGTGGCAGGTGCTGTCACTGTCACCATGGCCATAACAGAAAACTGCGGCAACTCTGAGTCCCCCCAAATCCTAACTGAGCTGGACCCAGCTTCATTCTGCGAGTCAGTTCTAGTCCTCCTCCTGGTTGTCCTGGGTATAGTTCTAGAAGTGGGTGGCTGTGCCCTCATGGGCATTCGTGGCATTGACAGAGACCCACCGGAGGCTGCTGGGCCCACCACAGCCCTGGCCACCTAGCTGATGGTTGGGAGGAGTTTCTGGAAGGAGGGGGCCACGTGATATTGGAGGAATAATACAACTTCTCTGTTGGCAAGTAACACAAATCCAGCCCAAACTGGCTTAATCCATAAAAGGGAAGTTAATTGGCTGCTAGAACGGCAAGTACCAGAGTACCTGGCTTCAGACATAGTTGGACGCAGCTAATCCGTGCACTAGGACCCGTTCCATCACGTGGCCCTTTCATCCGGGTCAGCTTTCCTCTGGGACAGGTTCCCTTCTGTGACGGTAAGTGGGTCCTCCCCAGCTCCAGGTCTACACCCTTTTGGCTTAGAAGACATCTTTGCAGTTAATTCTAGCAAATGTCCTAAGGCTGGTTATCACGGATCTGGTGGGCTATGTGCCTGTTGTGGAGCAGTCGTGGGGTAACGGTTCTGATCGGCCGGGCCCAGGTCAGGGGCTGCGCTAGGCTTGCGGAGCTCTCCAGAGGAGCGCTTCAGAAGTGGGTGAAGTCGGTGCGAGGGGGCTCCACCTCAGGAAGGAAAGCAGAAAGCAAGGTGTGCCCATTCGCCATGTCAGAAGGGGATGGAAGCCAGACACTGGGCCACACCAGAGTGCCTGCAAGGTCAGGAGCCTTGTCACGTCTTGATGGTTACATCACCCCCGTTGGTTTCTGTGGTTGGAAGGCCCATCAGGAATGTGGGGAGCTGGGGCACCACTTCTGTGTGTAGCCAGGCCTGGGGAGAGGCGAGGTCCCCTGAGGGTGAAGGAGGCCAAGCTCTTGCAAGGAGGGGACACAAGATGTGGCCCGAGGCCAAGGCTGGCCGCTCACCTAGGATTTTCCCCATCAACTCCAACCTTAGGCAGCCTCAGACCTCAACCTGGAACTACTGACATTCAGGGCTGGGTAACCTTTTGTATGGTTGGGTGGGGGGAGTGGGGGTCTGTGCACTGTGGGAGCTTCAGCAGCACCCATGGCCTCTACCCACTCGATGCCAGTTGCACCTCGCTCCCCAGTTGTGACAACCAGAAGTGTCCCTAGACGAGGCCAAATGTCCCTTGACTTAGGGGTAAGGGGAGGCTGGGGGTCAAGTCTGCAGAAGCCCATTCCTATCCCGTCCTCCAGCCACGCGGGTGAGGAGCCTCGCTGCCCGTGACCTGGGGAGGCTCTGTGAGACGAGCCAGTTGTTACTTGCTGAGAAGTCTCTTGGTCGCGCTCACGTGGAAGCCATATCTGGGGGCCCCGCTGCAGGGCTGCCCCCCGCGCAGGAGCAGATGGCCTCTAGTTCCGGCATAGCCAGTGCTCATTACGCTTGCGTCCCGCATGCGCACAGGACTGTGAGGAGCAGCTCTGTCCAGGGCAGTGCTGTCCCAGCGGGTGGTAGGGGCTATGCCACTGGGTATGCAACATGAGTTACATCACGCGATTCGACATTTCACGAGAGAAGTGTTTTAATGGGTTGTTTTTCTTTAATTTATTTGTTTATTTATTGGTTAATCCTCACCTGGGGGTATTTTTCCATTGATTTTTAAGGAGAGTGGAAATGAGAGGGGAAGACAGAGAAATATCGATGTGAGAGAAACACATTGATTGGTTGCCTCCTACACAAGCCCTGACCAGGGCCCAGGCCAGAGCCGGGGAAGAGCCTGCAACTGAGGTACTTGCCCTTGACCAGAATCGAACCTGGGGCCCTTCGGTTGGCAGGCCTATGCTCTACCCCAGTGATGGCGAACCTTTTGAGCTCGGCGTGTCAGCATTTTGAAAAACCCTAACTTAACTCTGGTGCCGTGTCACATATAGAAATTTTTTGATCTTTGCAACCATAGTAAAACAAAGAGTTATATTTTTGATATTTATTTTATATATTTAAATGCCATTTAACAAAGAAAAATCAACCAAAAAAATGAGTTCGCGTGTCACCTCTAACACGTGTGTCATAGGTTCGCCATCACTGCTCTATCCACTGAGCCAAACTGGCTAGGACTGGCCTATTTTCTTTTAAATTAGTTGGTTTCAAGGACTTGGTGAGCCAGGTAAGTAAATGCCTACACGGGCAGCGTGTGGACAAGGGCCCACGTGGCTGACAGGGCCGGAGTGCCAATGTCTGGGGTGCATCCTCGCTGCTAACTTGCCAAAGTGGGGTGCTGTGTAAGAGCATCTCTTGCCAAGTGCCCCCTTGCTCACCTGCCTTTTCTCGTCTGCAGGCGAAGGGGCCAGACCCTGCAGCACCAGACTCCTTCTCGGTCAGTGGCATTGACAGTTCACCCCAGTTTGGTCTCCCAGCCACAGTAGGGTTGGAGCTGTTCACAGGATCCCAGGCGGGAACTGAGAGGGTGGCCGATACCACATTTACTCAGGAAGCCCCGGGACGCTGGAGCTGCCTGGGGGGCTGTTACAGCCCACACGTGGTGGAGCTCGGGCAGTGAGCTGGCTGGAGTCGCTTAGCAAAGGGGACCAGAGCAGCTGTACACGCACTGCGCGCGCTTTCGTGAGGCAGGAGGCTGGCTCCCTTCCAAGCCCGGAGCTGTGGTGGGGGTGGAGGAAGGGGTCCTGTGACCTCCATCTTCCCTGAGCATCTACTTTGCTGGAGTCAGTGCCAGGGGTGCTTACCCAAGACCTCACCCCAAGGGGTCATGCAAGTGTCCAAATATCTTTTGGGTGTCAATTCCGGGAGGTGGGCTGCTTTGGGCATCTAGTGGGTGGAGGCCAGTGACAGCCCCACAGCATGGAAGGACCAGGCATGAAGTGTCAGTAGTTTCAGGGCCGAGAAACCCTGTCTGTGCTGACGATCCACGGACAGCTGGCCCTGGAGACAGGGGAGAGGGACCCTAGAAGCAGAGTGAACAGGCACAGAGATGAGATGTGAGTGACTAAGACAGAAGGGGCTCTGATGGAGAGGAATGGGAGTGTGACCACGCCCAGGCCTGAGGGGACCGTGTTGGAGCCAAGGCCGGCAGGGAGGACCACTTTCCTGGCTGTGGCTCCAAGAAGCGTCCAAGTGGAGGAAGCAGGAAGGGCAGGAGCCCTGGGCTAAGGCAGCTGCTGTGGACTCTGGCTGGCATGGGGACCAGAGTGCGTGCCAGGGAGTGGCCTGTGGGCATCCCTGGGAGAGGCTGGCATGGAGTGAGATGGGTTTTTGGGGACTCTCTGGAGGGGATGCAAGGGTGGGGACTTGGGGTGGAGCTGGAAAGACGGTTCATTGGGCACATGGTCCTACAGCTGGAGTGCGGGAGGTGCCAGGAGCTGGTTGTGTGACCCTGGGCAGGCACCACAGCCTCCCGGAGGTGGCTTGTCCCTGGAAAAGGACTGGCCTTGTTGCCACCAAGTGCCAGCTGCTGCCACGAGAGGCTGAATGGCTTGCGGTGGCTGTGCCATAACTGTCTCTTTAAAGTTTCATTTTATTGCCTGATTTTTGGAGGTCAGATGCGGCCTCAAAGTCAAAGACTGTGACGGTATTCCCAGAAAGGGAGCCTCCCTCTCCTCCTCTCCTCCGGCCGCTGGTGATGAGTCATGGCTGTTCCCAGGGCCTGGCCCCAGGTGCAGATGAGACCTGAATCCACCCACCCCCTGCGGCACAGCTGTGCTGCCTGCGGGGAGGGGCGGGGCTGCGGGCGGGAGGCTTGTCCTGAGTGTCCCAAGGCACCACATGGGCTGGCAGGTTTGAAATGAGGTGGAGTCCGGGGAGTGGGAGGCTTACGATGAATTGATGTTTTTTCCCACCCCACACCCCAACTTTCCTGGAACATGCGTGGTGCCAGAGAGAAAGATGGGAGCCCGCGGAGCTCTGGCCCTGCTCCTGCTCTGCGCGGCTGCCGCGGGGGCCTCCGAGAACTCCAGCACGTCCCGGGGCTGCGGGCTGGACCTCCTCCCGCAGTACGTGTCCCTGTGCGACCTGGACTCCGTCTGGGGCATCGTGGTGGAGGCGGCGGCCGGTGCTGGCGCCCTGATCACGCTGCTCCTGATGCTCATCCTGCTGGTGCGGCTGCCCTTCATCACGGAGCAGGAGAAGCGGGACCCCGTGGGCCTGCACTTCCTCTTCCTGCTGGGCACGCTGGGCCTGTTCGGGCTGACCTTTGCCTTCATCATCCGCGAGGACGAGGCGGTGTGCGCGGCGCGCCGCTTCCTGTGGGGCGTGCTGTTCGCGCTCTGCTTCGCCTGCCTCGCCAGCCAGGCCTGGCGCGTGCGGGCGCTGGTGCGGCGCGGCAGGGGCCCGCCGGGCCCGCAGCTACTGGGCGCCGCGCTCTGCCTGACGCTCGTGCAGGTGGTCATCGCGGCCGAGTGGCTGGTGCTGACGGTGCTGCGCGACGCGCGGCCGGCCTGCGCCTACGAGCCCGCGGACTTCGCGTTGGCGCTCGGCTACGACCTGGCGCTGCTGGCGGCCGCGCTGGTGCTGGCGCTGCTCGCGCTGTGCGGCAAGTTCCGCCGCTGGAGGCGGCGCGGCGCCGGCCTGCTGCTCACGGCCACGCTCTCCGCGCTCGTCTGGGCCGCCTGGCTGACCATGTACCTCTACGGCAACGCCCGGCTGCGGCACGGCGAGGCCTGGGGCGACCCCACCCAGGCCATCGCGCTGGTGGCCAGCGGCTGGGTCTTCGTGCTCTTCCACGCCATCCCCGAGGTGCACTGCGCCCTGCTGCCCGCGCCGCGCGAGGACGCGCTCAACTACTTCGATGCGCCGCCGCCCCGGGTGCGCGAGACGGCCTTCGAAGAGGATGCGCCGCTGCCCCGGACCTACCTGGAGAACAAGGCCTTCTCCTTGGACGAGCACAGCGCAGGTAGGCGGCTCACCGCGAGTTGGGGCGGGGCCATCTGTCCTGAAAGGACTCTCTTCTTCCCTCTCGGGGGCAGTGGTGGGGGCAGCCCTGGCAGGTCAGAGCCTACAAGCGTTGACTCCTGTGTGGAAACTGGCCCAGAGGTGGATTTTTATTTAGACTTGTGTCCTATGAATTGCCAAGTACAGTGGGGCATTGACTTACAAGTTTAATTCGTTCTGTGACGGAGCTCGTAACTCAAATTACTTGTATGTCAAATCAAGAAGTGAACGAGTGAGATACGTGATGCTGGGCTGATGTTGTGGCGTTCACTGTGACGTTTGCTGCGCCAACTAGCGATGGTGTATCTGAAGCTGGCTCATAACTCGAATTTTAGCTCGCAACTCAAAGCAAAAAATCGGCCGAGAGACGGATCGTATCTCGAAAAACTCGTTAATCAGGACACCCGTAAGTCAAAGCCCCACTTTAATTTAATGTAAAAATCCAGGTCTCTGTCACTGAAAGTCTGGATCTGGCCCTGCTGCCCCGTCCCAGCCAGCAGCTGCTCCTGTAGGTGCTCCCGCCTCCCCATCCTGGCCCAGCCACGCCCACCACCAGGTTAGCATTCATTGCTCGCACCCTGGCAGGGGGCATGTGCAGCCAGTGCCAGGTGATGGGGGCAATGCTTGTGCCCCTCCCCTCCCTCTGGCACCACGAGTGCAGAAATTGAAGCCCTCAAGTCAGATGTCTGGATTCAGACACTGTCTCTACTGCTTCTAGCTGTGGGGCTTTGAGCAGTTTCTCTCATCTGTTAAAAAAATAAAAGAATGTGCTTGGTGGCACTGCTGTGAGAGGTGCCAGACTGGGGTACCAGGCCGAGGGTCCCACTGTGCCTGGCTGGGCTCTTCTGAGAGTAGAACCTGAGACCTGGCGCAGGTGGCTGGCTGGGGAGGTCGGGACCGGGGCATCTCTGGGAGCCCAGAGGGCACAGCGGGCCAGGGCGGGCAGGGCGAGCAGGGCCAGCAGCTGGTGGGGCCCAGCAGCTGGGGAGCCTCTTACTCGGCTCTTCTGGGCAGGTTCTTCCCCGCAGACCCCTGGGGCCGTGATGGTAATGCATTGCCTGAAATGGGTGTGAATTTGCACATTCCTTGTTGGTCTGTCACTTTGCCAGGCTCGGAAAGCTCTCTGTTAGCCCGGAACACTAGGAGCTTGAAGGTCTAGTCTCCTTGCCGTGAAGTGGGGATGCTAGGACTGCCCATGTAGCTTAGGGTCTTCAGAAGTGGGGATGCTAACCTTTGTTGCGTGCACTCATGGACCAGGTACCACCCTGTGCGTTTTAGTAGCTAATCTCATTTAATACCTACAGTGACCCCATGAGGTCCCTTTGCAGACAGGTAACTGAGGCAGAGCCAGGGTGTGGACCAGGCAGAATTATTCTTTCAGAGCATGTTGGTGCCCTCATGTCTCTGATGAGTCAGGATGCTCTGTGCATTGAGAAGACGGGGGTTCAGTTCCATGTCACAGAGCTGAAGCCCACCACTGGTTCAGTTCAACACTAAGTGCACAGGAGAGTGGGGAGGGGAAAGTGGGTTTTCTGGCTCCCATTACATGCATCCCTTTCTGTGGAAATGCAGCGAGTCCATCCTATCCGAGTAAGATCCAGAGACCAAGGGAACTGGGACCCAGGTGAGGACCAGCAGTGTGCAGGAGGCGATGGGGTTCCAAAGGTGCCCCCACCCACATCTGTTACACCCTGACATGTACCAAAGCCAAGAAACTTGTCTTTTAGTCCCCTTTGTTCTCCAAAATACTAGTAGTGTTATTATCCCTTTCTGATGACAAAAGGTTAGTAATACTCATTTAGGAGGCTTAGCAAATAGAAATAATAAAAATTGCTCAAAATACCCTTGCCCAAAGGCAGTGCTCCCATCTTGCCAGGCTGACTCTCTCTGTCACACACACACACACACACACGCACGATGATGCCATAGAGCTGTTCTTAACCTAGCTGCACATAAGAATCCCTTGAGCAGCTTAAAGACAGATGGGTGCCTATCCCTTACTCTGTAAGTCTCTAGGGCCCAGATATTGTAAGCTTCCTGTGACTGTAAGGTGTAAGCAGGTTGAACACTGGGCTGGGAGTGTGCTTGCCTCACTCAGCATCACGGCCAAGGCCTCTCCTGCCAGTGACTGTGGAGCTGCATGTCTGTTTCCATCGGGCACGTGATGTAGTTTTCTGGTCTCCAGCTGGCGAATGTCCCATATGTTTCTGGCTTCCCATATAAAGTTATGCTGCAGTGAACATTTCCTGTTTTTCTGTATCTTTCAAAATTTTTATTTGCAGTTGATGTTCAATATTATATTAGTTTCAGGTGTACAACCCAGTGGTTAGACATTTATATAATTTATGGAGTGATTCCCTCCATAAGTCTAGTACCCACTTGGCCTCATCCATAGTTATTACAGTATTATCTATACTAATAAAAGGGTGATAGGCTAATTAGATTGGACATCTTCCAGATGTCCTTCTGGACAAAGCCACAGTGGCGGGGGCTGAGGCAGAGGCGGTTAGGGGCGATCAGGCCGGCAGGGGAGAGCAGTTAGGGGGCAATCAGGCTGGCAGGGGAGAGCAGTTAGGGGATGATCAAGCTGCCAGAGGACCAGTTAGAGGGTGATCAGGCTGCAGGGGAGAGCAGTTAGGGGGCGAGCAGGCTGGCAGGGGAGAAGTTAGGGGGATCAGGCTGGTAGGCAGAGGCAGTTAAGGAGGATCAGGCTGGTAGGCAGAGGCGGTTAGGGGTGATCAGGCAGGCAGGCGAGTGATTAGGAGTGATCAGGCAGGCAGAGTGGTTAGGGGAGATCAGGCAGGCAGCCAAATGCCCTTGATCAACTAACTTCCCGCAAAAAAGAAAATAAAAAATTCCCAGACTGCATCTAAAGTTGCACCGAAGAATCTGTGCCTTGGAGTCCTGATATATACTGCCCCCTGTAATCATCGTATGAGAGCCCTATTTCCCCACGTGTTCACCAGCCTTGTTTGTTGTCAGACTTTTTTTAATAGCCCTGCTTTGCATCATCCCACATGTGTATCCACTGACATTTCCATGGGACCAGGCAGGGCAGCTCCAGGCAAGCCGTGCCCTCAGAAAGCTCAGAGGCTGAGTTGGCATCTGGCTGGTGCTGCCTCTGTCCCGGTTACCTTTGCCTGCAGGGACGCCTGGCCACGCTCCTGTGCACGGTGAGAGCAGCTGTTGTCAGCTGTGGCACTAACCTCAGCCAGCTTCTACTGTAAGGAACTGGCCCCGCAGCCGGCCGCACAGGAGCTACAGTGCCCTGTTATTTTGCATTTTCACCTGCTGGCCTTTCAGGCTCCCCTTCCTTGAAAGCTGCCTTGGCTTTCAGAGGTGGGACGCATCCCAGGTGGCCTGTGGCTCGGCCACGCCTGCAGCCTCTGCTTCCTCATTCCCTTCCCCCAAGGAGGCCCTGATATGCACCACTTCACCAGCCTGCTGCTTATGAATAAGTATCAACAAGGCATGAGGTATGTGAGTAAAAAGATTAAAATACACTGAAGGATGTAGCACCTCAGGTCACATCTCGGGCAGTGTTAGCAGGCGCTTGAAATGCTCACCTTTCCAAGAGCAGGAAAGGAAAGAGTTCTTTCTTCTGGGAGGGATTTGGGCTCAGATCTCATTAGGGCCGAGGGCTATTTAAACCCTAGCCCTTAGCTTCCCAGTGGAAGGCCCTCAGTGACTTGTGGGGGAGGGGGAGAAGCTAGCCTCACTCACAGAGTCTAGACAGGGGAGGGCTGGCATTCAATCTCTGATCTTTGATTCCTGTGGGGACCTATGGGTGAGCCCTGCTTGCCTTTCAGAGTTGACCCAGGTCAGAATGGGGTGTTAGCTGGGATTCTCAAAGTTGCAAGTAATGAAAATCTGATTTTAATCAGCTTAAGCAAAGCAAGATTATAGCACAGCAACAGAACTGATGGACTAAGGACGAAGCTTCAGGAGGGGTTCGATCCGAGAGCTCGAGGTGACAAGATTTGGTATTTCTCCATCTCTTAACCTTTTAGCATCTTGGCAGCCCACAGCTCTAGGCTTGCACAGAGTCCTAGTAGAAAAGAGGAACATTTCCCAGGATGCTAGAGAAAAATCCCAGAGTTAGCTCTGATTGGACCTGATGGCCCTTCCTGGGCCAATCAGTGTGGCTGGGGAGATACAATGCCCTGGCTGGCTAGGCCTAAATCACATGCCCACCTGGAGGCCAGGGGAGAATGCCACCGTAGCCAACACTCAGGGGCTTAGAATGTGGGGGAGGGATGTTTCCCAGAGGAGAGGCCCTTGGGCCAGTGAACCCCACAGCTGGGCAGGGCAGCGCTGAGACCCCACCACAGCTGCTGTGTCTGAACCTCCCTCCATTCAAGCAGATCAGGCTAGGGATTGAGACTGGGACAGTCTCCTGTCCCCTACTGGGCCCGGCGGCCCCTTCTCTGCTTCCCAGGAAGGACTTCTCCTTGCTCAGAACGTGCACAGGGGCTGTGAAGGCTTGGAGATGCTAAAGCAGAAGAGGTCTTCATAGGCGTGTCTTGGAACTCGCGTTCCCTATCCTGCCTCAGTTTCTTTGGTCCAATCTGGGCCCAGCTGCCCCCAGTGTCACTTGAATTTAAGTTGCTTCTAATGAACTAAGTGTAGTGGTTAAAACCTAGTATTCGGAGCTAGTATAGTGTGATTGTTATGAACACAGGTTCTCTGCCTGAGTTTGAATACTAATTCTGTCACTGATTGACCTTGGGCAAGTTACTTAATCTCTCTGTGCCCCATGTGAAGTGGGAATCATAGAAGTGCCTATGGTGCTATGACAGTTAAAGGAGTGTATAGGTGTATAAACTCAGCGCCTGGCTCTTGGGTGGCATTCTCTGAAGGTGAACTGTATTACGCGGTGGTTTTGGTCCCTTTCCCAAGGAGTTTCTAAAAACTGCAAGCTCTCTTTAGTCAGAAAGATGACTCCCCCAGGGAAGACTTTTAGGAGGGTTCTCGGAACAGCAACATCAGCGCCTTCGCTGGAAACGAAGATCATGAAGACGCCACCGCACCCTGGAGGTGGACTTCTGTTTTGATTTTTAAACAGACCTACTACCTTCTCCACTACTCTTTAATAAGACTGTTTTTTAGAGCAGTTTTAGGTTTACAGAAAAATTAAGCAGGAAATACAGGATTTTCCCACAAGCCCCTCCCCCAGATTCCCTGATACTAACAACTTGAATCTGTTACATTAGTGTTGCAGTTAGTGAGTCCTTACTATTAGCCAAGCTGTCATGGACATGTGGGATGTCACTCCTGGTTTGCACAGCTCTGTGCTCTGGACAGATGCATTCTGTCCTCTCCACTGTTAGTTCTGGTGCAGAATAGCTCACGGCCTGAAGATGCCCACGCTCCACCATTCATCCCTAGCCCAGCCCCAGCGCACTAACACCTTTACAGTCTCTGGCTTTGCCTTTTCCAGCATATTATAGTTGGCATCATACAGTGTGTAGCTCTTACAGGCTTAGCAATATGCATTTAAGTTTCCTCCGTGTCATTAGGTTTTTCTTTATTAAAAAGGGGGAGAGAATCTCTGAAAGTACACAGCAGATAAGAAACACGGTGTATCCAGAGATAGAGCGTCCTGCCTGTTTCTCTGTCTTTGCTTCAGATCTTAATTCTTTCCCGTTCAGCAGGAGCCCCCTGTCTGGTCCAAGCCCCTCTGTGCCCTGCCTTTCCCATGAGACGCCCTCTGTCTTGTGCCTTGGTCCATGCTCTTCCCTGCCTCTGTGTGTAGGGACACAGTGAGCCGTGTTGACGGTGTGATGTTGAACTGGCCATGAATGGCATGCTGTAGTGAGGTCTTTGGTCCAGGGAACCTGGGAGTACAGGGTGTGTCCTTGTCCCCTGGGGCCTGCAGGTGGGGAGGGGGAGGCCTGGCCTGTCTGCCTCAGCAGCTGCAGCCTGGACTCTGCAGACTCCTCCCCGCCCCCAGGATGGGTCACTCAGGGCAGAGAACAAAGCCCCTCTGTGACTTGTTGGGAGTCAGGCTGTGACAAAGGGCAGGAGGGAGGGCTGTGTGCCAGATCGTGCTGATGCAGGGGAGGAACACAAAGCTGTCTCTCTTCCTTGTTGTTTTGGTGTCTGTGTGGCTCCCGCCTTCCCCAGCTCTCCGGACAGCAGGGTTCCGCAACGGCAGTTTGGGAAGCAGACCCAGCGCTCCGTTTAGAAGCAATGTGTACCAGCCGACCGAGATGGCCGTGGTGCTGAACGGCGGGACTGTGAGTATCAAGCCTGATATTTTGGAGGAAACCTGACGGGGAGGAACGAGGGGGAACAGCTCCCACAGGGACACAGCTCTGCAGGGGCTGCTAGGCCTGTGCAGACAGCAGCTCTAGCAGACACTGCAGCGGGAACGTGGCGAGGCTGCCATTTCTCCTACCCCACTCCACGCACCCACGCCCCTGTAGTGTACCACCTGTACCCGGTGTACCACCTGTACCCGGTGTACCACCTGTACCCGGTGTACCACCTATACCTGGTGTACCACCTGTATCCAGTGTACCATCTGTACCCGGTGTACCACCTGCACCCAGTATACTACACTGATTGGACCACCTGCACCCACTGGACCACCTGTACCCGGTATACCACCTACAGATTCCCTTAAGTGTCCCTGTATCTTGCGGTTCTTATACCCAGTGAATTCTTGGGTTTCATTATACAGAATGTATCCCTCTCTCCCTGGGAGGAGACTTAAAAAAAGCCCAGATTGCCGAAACGGTTTGGCTCAGTGGATAGAGCGTTGGCCTGCGGACTCAAGGGTCCCGGGTTCAATTCCAGTCAGAGGAATGTACCTTGGTTGCAGGCGCATCCCCAATGGGGCGCGTGCAGGGGGCGGCTGATCAATGTTTCTCTCTCATCGATGTTTCTAGCTCTCTATCTCTCTCCCTTCTTCTCTGTAAAAAATCAATAAAATATATTTAAAAGAAAAGAAAAGAAAAGCCCAGAATTACGAAGTGGATTTTGCTGACGCCCAGCCTAGTCAGGCCCCTTCAGCCCTCCCTCCCTGTGCCAGCTGGGCCTGGGCTGCCCACTCCCCTCCCAGAGTTATCTTGAAAAACTGAAGTGCTGCTCGTTCCCCCCTGTGAACACAAAAGCAGGTCAGCTAGCTGATGCCAAACAGACCTCAGCAGAACCGTCACTGTCTCTTTTGCCTGTGAATGACCTCATGTTGCTTCTCCATCAAATCAGATACACTCTCATCCCCACATTTTCTGCCAAGTGCACTCCCTGCTTCTTCCTAGTGCATGAGCCACTGCAGGCGAATGGATTTCCGTTCCTCTGTCATGTGCCACGCCTGTGCTCGGCCTCGGCCTCGGGCTTTGGGATGTGGTCAGGGCTGTCTGCGCTGGGGCAGGGCTCCCGCCTGTGGGTGCTGTCGGCATTGCCCTGCAGGTGGGAAAGGCACCCAGATTCCCACACTGCAGCCCTCACGCCCTCCCCCCCCCCCCACCACTGGGCTGCCTCCCACTGGGCTGCCTCCTGGTGGGGAAGAGCCTGACTCGAGCCCCCGCTGTTATAATTAATATGATTAGAAGGTGGCCCCAAAGGTCAGTCCTAAGCCCCCCTGGTCCCTTCAAGACAGAAGAGCACCCTGACTCAGACGGTGAAGGGTTTCTGGGTAAGGAAGCATTTATTCTGGCGCATAACCCCAGAGAAAGGAAGGTGGGCTTCCTAAGAAGGCAGGGCCGGGCACCCAGCCCCGGGAGAAGGCAGGGCCGGGCACCCAGCCCCGGGTGAAGGCAGGCGCTGGGCCCCGTACTGTGTGCTCTGGGGACGCTGACTTCCCAGCACAGAGCTTAGTGTGTTTCCTTGTTTCCAGATCCCAACCGCACCACCAAGTTACATGGGAAGACACCTCTGGTGAGAGACGCAGGCCGACCTCTGAGGGCTCTCTGGGAGGAGTCAGCCACTGCGGCCGCACAGGCACCTCCCGCCAGAGCTCTGGAAACCCTAGGCCAGGGCCATGAAATGTGAGCACTGCTGAACGGCGAGCTAACCCAACTGCCCCCCCCTCGCCCCGCAGCCTCGACCCCACACACTGCAGCGAAGCTAATTGCCAGTAGTGTTAGCTCCTCGCAAACAGGGCAGGAAGCCCGTCGCATCCTCAGGTGGACCAGCCCCGTGCTCACAGCTGGGGGCCAGGCAGCTGTGGGTGAACGTGGAGGTGCCCCCATGCCCCCGGCCTCCGGGAGGTGCTGTCCATTGAGGGGCCCACAGGGCTCTCTGCCTGCACTTTCGGGGTCAGGAGCAGTTCAGGAGGCTGTCATGTGAGTCAAAGGAGAGGCCAATCGGATCGGGAGGCAAGCTGTCCCCCGGCCGCGAGGCGCTGTCAGTGCCAAAAGGGGTTTAGCCTGGGAGTGGGAGTGACCATCACAGTCAGAAAGTGGCGATCTGCCACGGCGCCTCCCGGGGCCTCTGAACCAGTGTCCTGGCAGGATGAGGCGCTTCCTACCCCCCTTGTGTTGCCGCCCACCAGCGGCCTCGTGCCCGCTACCATTCATTTCAAAGGCTGAAGTGGGGCCACCAGCTTGAAGCTCGGGGTCGGCAGGCGGCGGGCAGGCGCCTCAGCAGATTTCCCAGATGAGGCACCGGTGCCTCCGGGTGGAGGGTGGCACTGCTGCCTGGCATGCGGCAAGCTGGATGCAGCATCGAGCTTCCTGCTGCACGGGCGGGAGTGGTACATCGCTAACTTGGTGCCTGCAAGGTCCATGAAAATGGTTCGAGTCCTCCAAGCCATTGTCCTGCGTGGCTCCCACCTGTCCCCAGCAAGTCACTCCCGGTCCCTGCATTCCACAGCTCAGCACCCAGCCCACACACGCTGCACTGTTTGGCCAGCACAGCTGCTAACAATTCTCGGCGCGTCTCAACTGACGGCAAGGGGTGCACAGGAGGCGGGGCCTGAACAGCCCCGATGCCTGTAACCTTTTAGGAAAATGGAAAAGGTTAGTGTTTGGTGAGGGGAACTGACCTCTTCATAACCAATGTATCTGAGCTGAGTGTGTTTTAATAAACTTGACTTTTCTCCAGGCCTAGTCTCTGCTGTCCCCACTCCGCCTCCACCCAGCCCAGGCGTCTATGTGGCCCTCCTCCCGGTTCCCTCTGGCCAGCACCTTCCTCACGCATGCCCAGCCCAGAGCCCGCCACTCCCAGGACCCGACCCCAGCCCTATGACAGGAACAGCAGGGGTGGGTGAAAACTCGGGGGTGGGAGGGTGGGGGCAGACCCAGAACCAGAATTCTCAACATATAAAAATCTTCCAACACCTGTGTCCAGGCCACTGGGAACCGACTGCGTTATACATCCTTGTGCCAGGAAGTGGCCACTCAGCCCCGGTCCCTGGAGTCCTTCAGAGCCCCAACTCCACCTGGGACTCAGGACTTGGCTGCAGAGCCCGCAGGGAGTGTTCGCACCGCCCCTCCCTGGGCGCAGGGGCCTAGCATGCCAGGCGAGCTTGGGGCAGCGACTGCGGGCATGTAACCTTTGACCCCACACGTGGAACAGCTTTGTGTCAAGGACTGAGATCTTTTTCCTTCTTTTCTTTTTAAGCCTCTGATAGTGACTGCTCTGCGTTTTGCTTTATTTGGGCACTAAGATGGGCGCGGCCGAGTGCGGCCCTGGGCGGAGGTGGGGGGAGAGTGCGAGGTCTGCTGTTTCTTAGTGACATCACTGGAAGGTACAGAGAGACATCTGTGCCCAGAGATGCAGCCAACTGTCCCCACAGAGCAAAGTTCAAGTACCAAGTTAAGTGGTGCCTGTTTCCGTGAACAGCCTTGTTGGGGAAGATGATCTGAAGAGGCATCAGTGGTCAAAAGACCTAATCGTAAGCACTCCTGTCCACGTTCGCTTACGAAACCACCGTGCACTCTCACAGCCACGCGTGCCCCTAATGGAGATGGTCTTTAGAGGCTGGTGTCTCCCCTGGAGATGGAGCTGACAGGCATGCCGGGAAGCCATGTACCCCAGGTCTCGGGTCTGTGGTTGGAAGTGCGGACGTAGGGGTCTTCTAGGTCGGCCAATGCCGAGTTGAACCCCAACTGAAGGGAGCTTGTGGCTTTCGTGGCCCGAGGATGCAGTGACCCACCAGCTCACAGGAGTGCCCAGTGGGTGCTTTGTGTTAATTGATAAAGAGCTATGGCTCATTTTTGATAGATAATATGTATTTATTAAATGTATTAACGTGTGTTTTATAATGTACCTTCATCCTCTGCTGGCTGACTGTCGAGTACTTATGAGAAACAAAAATTAAAGAAATTTCAAGACAATCAATATGCACTATACATGACTGTATATAACTATTACAAAGGTTGTAATAGGTTGAAAAGGTTGTAAAGCATTGGCAGATGGATTTTATTTCAACATGCTATTCTTAACACAGAAATAAAGGCTTTACTATTTACGTAAGATGTGTGGTAGCTTGTCAATACAACCACAAGGCTACGCCTATGGCTCTTTGAATGGGAAAATCCTGGTTAATGGCAAACCACTGACCCAATGAGGGTCACCCATCAGCTTGCCCACCGAGTGAGGAGTCTGCTGGGTGTGGGGCCTGACTCATCTTGGTGGTGGGAAGGTAAGGCCATCTCCTTTGGAAGTGACCACAGGCAGCAAGGCCTGCCGTGAAGAGCAGGTACCAGATAAACTAAGACCACGCAGGGGTTGAGACTTAAATTTAAACATGGCTCTTTGCCAAAGTGGGACACAGGTAACCAGGACACTTCACTGCTTGCAACTAGAGTTTGTTGTACATTTTAAAGGCGACTGGTGCAGAAGAACACTGAGGCACTGAAGAAATAGATGGCTGAAAGAATAAAATTTAGGGATAATGCAGAAAGACCAGTAAAGTAAGAATTACTTGCACTTACAACAAGTGCTGTCTTATGTTTTCTAGCCAGTAAATCTACTAGGTAAATAGCAAGAGGAAGCATAACTTGGACTCTGCCTGAACCTGGTCCCTGGTCAAGGAGCGGAGGTCAGGGAGACAGCAGCCTCTTCCTCCTTCACCTCCTCCTCCTCCTCCATGGTTTGTTTCACTGCAAATAAACAAAAGAAAAGGTCAGGACTGGATTACCCGCCTGGACAGACTTGTCATTGGGAAGTCGAGAACAGGTGTGTGGAGAAGGCCAGTTGTACCAGCTGCTGGGCTGTCTCCAAACCTGCACATGGGTACATGGCCACCTTAGGTCGGCTCCGCAGGTCAGAGTGCACTTGCAGGAGGGGACTGAAGGAGGAAGTTTTTCTGAAGATGACAGATTCCAGCTCTGGCCTCAGCCCTGTGTGTCACCACTCACCCCCCAAATTAAAAACTCCAGATAGCTTGGGGTCAGTACAAGATCAGAAGAGCATCTTTTCAAGACTTTCATGGTCTGGGATCCTGATTTTGAGTCAGCCAAAGAGGAAAGGGAGCTGAACACAGTGTGGCACTGTTGTAAGGAACACTGTCCCGGCAGATAACAGCGCCTCCCCCCAAATATGCACCGGTCTCCTGGTGGGGGGAGGGAGCCTTTGGGAAGACTTGTTACTCTTGGCTCTAGTGTCAGGTCCTGCCCGATGTGGGTGCCTGAGGCTGTTCTAGGCAAGGCACAGGCACAGCTGGCTTTTGTGGAGAGCCAGGTGGGACAGAAAGGATGGTGGTTTCACCATGGGGCAGGGTTCAGGCCAGCCACTTGGTCCTGGTCCTGGCCTCCCAGTGACTAAGGCCACACACAGGCAGACCACAGCCCAGGGGAGGCGTGGACCCCGACCCCAGGTGGGAGCGGTTGAAGCTTCGGGCAGAGCAGGCCAGCCTAGCAGCTTCCGGCTCAGGCGACACAGACTGCCCAAGGGACAGGGTTTATTCAAAGTCCATTTCCAAATCACCTCTGTGTGGACTTGCAATTTCAACATTTCCATTGGCCCCGCCCCTACTTCCCATCCTGGCCCTGCCCCATCCCACCAACCTGGCCCCGCCCCCCGCCTCCCCATCCTGACATTGCTGGTGTGTAAAGATCCCCAGCTGACAAAGGAAGAATTGGAAATGGCATCCCCCAGAGTCGCCTCTGTTTAATAACTAGCAAAATGCGTACTGCATTTATTTAGGTTCTCATGACTGTATTAACCCAGACAAGAAAAATACTGCCAATACCTGGAGCTGTGCTCTGGGAGCATGAAACACTTCTCAGTGCGCGCCCTTCTGTGCCACGTGTCTGGGAGATCCCAGTGAAGACCCTGTTGGCTGGCAGGTGATGAGGCCCCACAGACGACCACACACAGCTGGCCTCCCAGCCGTGCTGACCATGTTTAGAACTGACTGAGGTGGCCCCCTGATGGGCAGCGTTTGCCAGTTCCAGTGGAGGGCCTGGCATGGAGCTGGGAAGCTGGCCCGGGGACAGTGTGCAGGTAGACACAGGTACCACTGAGCTCTCCAGAGGTGGGACCAGCAACATTTGCATCACTGGGCACCTGGGAGAAACGCAAATCCCTGACCCACAGTCAGAGCTGCCTGTGGAGCATGCTGTGTGCTCCCTGACCTCTGGCAGGTGCTGACGCCTGACTCTGGTCCTTGGCTGCACTTAAGAGCCTGGGCGGCCCCTGAAGCCTACTGTGCCTGGTCTCACCCAGACCTTCTGGGCCTGGGCCTGGGCCCGGCCTCAGGACTCATTCAAAGCCCCATGTGTGCTGACCAGTTAGGGTTGAGAAACTCGAACCACGACTGGAGCCCCTTGAAGACAGGACCCGCCCTGGCCAGTATGCCTCCGTGGACAGAGCCCCCGCATGCGACTGCAGGTCCCAGGTTCCGTTCTGCTCAGGGCGCAGGCCTGGGCGGCAGCCTCGACCCCTGGGCGCGTGCAAGAGGCAGCCAGTCAATGATCCTCATCACTGATGTTCCTCTCTCTCCCTGCCTCTCTGAAATCAATAACAATATATTTTAAAAAAGAAATATGACCCTAAAGACCCCCAGCCGTTCAGCTCAGCGGCATTCTCTGTGCCTACAGCTGGTAGCCAGACCCACAGCACCGCTAATGCTGTGGGAGGGGGACTGGCTTTGGGGGTGGGGGGCTCCAGCTTTGGGCTCTCTAGCTCCTCAACCCTCCCCGAAGGCAACCCTGATGTCTGCGTCCTGGAATTTTACCCAGTTCCTACCCATACCTACAACCTCTCTCCCTAACTCTACACTTTGGCCCCGTCTCTTTCAGATCACAAGCCTGGAGGGAGGAGATGGCAAGGGATGCTAGGGACCCTTCTTTAAGCTGTAGTCAAGATATGACCCCAGCATGTCCAACCTGCGGCCGGCGGGCTGCTCGACCTAAAGGGCCTGAACAGGTGGTTGTGGAGCCTCCCCGTGCCCGCCCCACCCCAGGCAATTAGTCAGAATCTGTGTGGTGCAGCCGCTGGAGAGCTGGCCCTTCCGTGAGCCAGGCGGACATCTCCCCACAGAGCAGTGCCCCGCCGCATCTGCCCGGAAAGCCCAGCACGCACGGACTGGCAGATGTGGACTAGCACATTCCTGACATCAGAGCGTGGAAAGCAACCCGGGCGCCCGTCCAGCTCTCTGGGTGAAGGCCTCGTGGGCTAAGTGGACCACGAGCTCCCCTCAGCTCAGACCCATCCTCAGGCTGGAGGCAGGTGTGGAGTGGGAGTGGCCCACTGTGTGCTTCTGTGTGCAGCAGGTCTAGCCACTGAGGGATGCACCTAAGATGGAAAGAACTCTAAAGAAAAGCCAAGAGCCATTATCACCAAGTGAGGGACAGTGGCTTCCCAGGACAGCTCTGAAAGTGTGGCGGCCTCTGCTGCCTCAATGGGGGGTCAGGGGGTGTGCTTCATAGGCACTGAGTTTGCATGTTTACAGCCCTCCCGGGAAAAGAGAAAAGAAATGAGCATGGGAGTAACAGGAACTTACAAAGAACCTGAGAGGAGCGGTTAACTGCCTGGGGAGGGTGGGGCCGGACTGAGTGGAGTCCCCATCAGTGTTAGCAGGAAGTCAGAAAATGCCCCAAACCCGACCGTCTGTTAGGGATGCAGACGGACGGCCCAGAGGCCAGCGGGAGTG